TCTAATAAATGGAGAGAGAAAGATGTTTTAAAAAAATACCAACCCAGCCCTAGAGATACTAACAGGGTGGCTGCCTCAGCCAAGAAAGACTGTCACAAATTAATTAAAATTCCATTCAACAAAAGAAATTAAATGCCCAAGAAAAAACTACTGTGTGCTTCATAGCAACTCACAGTTACCATTACAAGAACTACAAGAAGGAATTACTAGGTTCTCCATTTTACATTGGGTCCATTCCGTATGTCATTGGGAAGGACAAGCACTGCCCTCACTGTATAACAATGAGGCTCCCAGGGTGCCCAGCTCTCATCACAGAATCTGCTCCTCAGGGTCAAAGCCAGGTACCTGACAACCTCAGCTTGTTACATTTGCCTATTTAATTGATGCTGGAACACAGAAAGGATTTTTATTATTTCCTAGAAATGTAGATACATACCTTCATTTTTATTTCCTAATTGGTTTTGAATATCAATAATATTCTCATTTACCAAAAGAGGAAAATAAATGTCTAAGTCAGGGCCTGTGTGAGAATGGAAATACAATTAAACATAACTAAATACCACATGGTAAGCATGATACATGCCATTTGGAGACCAATAATTGAAGAGTTGTAGAGATTCTATGAACAAAAATAAAAATGATTTATTAATTTTTCTTAAAACACTGTTGGAGCCAAGAAACTTTAAAAAATATTAATTTGTTTAATGAGTTCTAAATAATCAAATCAATAACATATTCAGAACAAGTTGACTCATCTATCATCTCATCTATTTGTACCTCAAGAAAAGTAACCACAGGCTGAAAAATTACATAATTTCTGGACTATCTAAATGCCAAAATAAGGAAAAAGTAATGTGTTAGTTATCGACATACCTATTATAGATAACAAAGAAACTTCAGAACATATATTCAGCCTTCAGGTTTCATAACTGAGACCTAATTTTGCGTATATGGCTAAGTAGTTTTATAAAAATATCAATATGTAGGAATTAACAAAAGTAGCAACATCAAAGACTACCAACATGATTTAATTGCATTATGTCTGAAGATTTATAGAAAAATAAAATTTGAAACCCTTTTCTAACTTCCATAGCAGAGTAAAGGTAACTACTCTGATCACAGCATAATTATTTTAAGCTTCCATTAGAATTCATTATATTTAACAAAAACGGGGGCCTCTGGCACATCACACTCTGTCATAAGTGGTTTCCAACGATCAAAAAATACAACGGGCGACGCACATCAAGTCACCACGGCCCTCAGAGCCTTTCGGCCGCAGAGGCTTTACAACAAACCCCTCGTCCTGTTTCTAGACGCCCGCCATCGGGCCCAGCCACGGCTCTGCCATCAGCACTGCCCTGCGGGCCTCCAAAGCCTGGCAGCACCTCCAAGTTACAAAAAATCACGATGGCAAGCCACATTAGCACTACCTAAGTACTAACCTAACTGTTTGGGATCAACTGGCCAAAAGATCTAATTTCTAATTCTCATGGTAAAAATATGAGATAAAATCCAAGTACCACTACTTAGCATTTACCAAGCATGCTTTCTATTCCTATCTAACACAAAACTTCTTAGAAGACAGAAACTACATATAAAATATCAGATGCTTGAGACATTTCTACATTAATTATTTTTATTTTTTTTAAAGATATTTTTATTGATTTCAGAGAAGAAGGGAGAGGGAAAAGGACAGAGAAACATCAATGATGAGAGAGAATCATGGATCGGCTGCCTCCCCATACTGGGGATCGAGCCCACCACCCGGGCATGTATACTGATAAGGAATCGAACTGTGACCTCCTGGTTTATAGGTCAAAGCTCAACCACTGAGCACACCAGCTGGGCTACATTACTTATTTTTAAAATAACCCAAATTATAAGAGCTTACTTATCTATCTGATCAGAATTGCATGAAGAAGCCCTGTGCACAGGTGTTAACACAAAATAAATGAAATTCTTCAGGACTCTGAGTGTCCCATTATGACATGTGTACCAGCAGCTGAGGGAAGCGTGGCTAAGGTCTGCTGGAAAGCCACCAAGACCCACGGAGGAACGCGGGGTGACTGGCTGGGTGTGCAAATCTGTGCAGGAATGCAGCCACATTTTTGGCAATTCCCTTATGGTCTTGGATGACAATCACTGACAATGGCCTTCTTCTTCAGCTGTAATGTTATATTTACAGAACATTATTTTGGTTGAAGGACCTGTCTGGTTGGTCTTTAAATCTAATAGGTTTAAAACTCGAATTTACAGCTGAAACCGGTTTGGCTCAGTGGTAGAGCGTCGGTCTGCGGACTGAAAGGTCCCGGGTTCGATTCCGGTCAAGGGCATGTACCTTGGTTGTGGGCACATCCCCAGAAGGGGGTGTGCAAGAGGCAGCTAGTTGATGTTTCTCTTTCATCGACATTTCTAGCTCTCTATCTCTCTCCCTTCCTCTCTGTAAAAAATCAATAAAATATATTTTTTTTAAAAACAAAACTCAAATTTACAAAGGTATGTGGCATTTCAAATGAAACACAAATTTTTGTCAAAAATAAAAAAAAATTACGTTTCACAAAAAATACCATGTGCACCCTAAAAAAACAAAACAAAAAAAATAGCATGCTATTTTGCATTTTATCCCACTTTCTCTTTATATAAAATTTTTGTAATAGTAGTGTTTTAGGATCATTATATTCTGGGAATGTAGCGTTTTTAAAGAGAACTCATCTTTTAAAGCATATGCTCTGATACACTCTTTACAGACGACTTCACACCTCGATTTCAGAGCCATGTCTGGTCCTGGTCACTGTACCAGCCGCCCTGTGTCCTCCAGGCTGTGGCATGTTACACTACAAAACAAAAGCATGGTATTCCTCCCCCCACGTTTACAATTTAATATGGGTATAGATTAAACAAATGCATACATTCAAAGGCACAAGTAATTTATAACCAGTTCAATTGTTTGACAATATAAAATAAACTTCTTGAAGGAAAAGTACTGTAGTATTTTCAGTTGAGCAATAATAATAGATAAAGCTGACACAGCACTTTGCAATTTAAGAAGTGACTCTCGTACAGTGAATCCTCACAACCACCCATGACACTGTCTGGGCACCCTCCCCTCCAGTTTTATTGATGAAGAACCTGCAATCAAAACAATACAGAAATGGACGCAGCGTCACCTGAGAAGCAGCAGAGCCTCGAAGCAATGGGTTCCCACAGTCAATCAGGGCCGCCACTGCCTCTCTGATTGACCTTCCGCCAGAAGCGCCCTCACTAGCTGCTCACCACAACCCACAGAGATAACAGCGCCAACCGCCAGCCAGCACGGAGCCGTGGTGGCAACTCTTCACTCCTCTCATGCCCCACAGCAGCAAGTGTCCTGGTCTCACCCCGTTTTCAAGGTGCGGAAACTGAGGCTCACTGGAAGTAAGTGCCCAGGAGCAGCTAGCGGGCAGAGGAGTGACCGGACAACTGTAGCGGGTTAAGGCCAAGCAAGTGCGGAGCGGCCCGCAGTCCTCCAGCACCACCTCTCCAGAATGAAGGTGGGGGCATGCCTCCAGGAGAGCAGGGGCTTGGGGTGCAGACTGCTCTTTAAGCAGAGGATGGGCAGGAGGGGCAGGAGCTGGGGAGGGGGAAGGCGGAGGCAGAGGAGAGGAGAGCGCAGTCAGGGCATGTGAGTGGACATGGCTCTGCCTCTCAGCATGGGGCAGGTGGATGAAGAGGGAAGGCTCCTGGAGGAAGGCTCTGGGAGGCGGAGGTGCCTGGGAAAGAAGTGCTCCCCTGCTGCCCAGGCGCCAGCCCACCAGGAGGCGGTGGCACCAGCACTGGGAGGCTGGCCCCTCCACATTCTAACAACTAAAATGTCCTTACAGCTTGGCAGCTCCCCTTCCTGCGGGAGCAGCAGCCTGAAGGGAGCACCGCTGAGCCATGTGCTCCTGCCCTCCCTGCCTCTGCCATGGGCCTGGGCCTGCTCAGCAGGATGCTCCCCAGAATCACAACAAACCCCACCCAAACCGATAAGCTGAGATGCCAGCCTACACCTACCGGCCAAGGTAAGGCAGATTCACAACAAATAAAGAAATCCTGGCGAAGAACAAACACAGCGAGATCGGAGGCCGAGGCAGCAGCACTTTTTTGAAGACAAATTAAACCTTAATGGAATTTCTTTTCTTATTACTTAAAATAAAATAAACCAGATCACTGAAACGGGCTTACACTATGGCATTTTGCTCATTTTCATTCCATTTCTTTCGTTAAGCCATAAATCCCCACGGCAATACCTGAGGCGCATTCTCCCAATGACTGGGGTGCCTCACATCTCAGTGGAAGTACTTTCCCATGAGCTCAAAGAGGTAACACGAGTGCAGGGCGGGCGCTCCAAGTTTCTTGCTATGTCAACAGCTAATCACAAGCATGAGTTATCGCCATGGCCACCAGGCCTGTGCAGAATACATTCCGGTCTGCGAGCAATCTCAGCACGCAGGCCGAGGGAGGTCTGCCCTGCGCGTGGAAATGTCAAAACCGCTGGACTTCCTAGAATACAGCACTCAGACTTTTCCTCCCAAAGCAATGAGCGTTAAATATACCTTGATGAATTAAGTTCAAGTGTAACTACAACTGAAATATATGAATCAACTGAGCTCTGACCTATTTTTCCTTTCAAAAGCAAAAGGAAACAATGATAGTTGTGAGACTTAAATTTTTTCCATTCCAGAGGTTTTTGAAAGTTATTTCACAGTACAGCTAAAGGCAAAATACACTTCATGACATTTATTTGCTTTGAAATATAGTGTTATTGCTCAGAGGACAGCAGAATTTTTATAAAAACTTGTTAAATTATATTTGTTTATTTATTTTTAAACTGTATAGACGAAGAGGCATTCAGAAAAGAACTAATCTCAGTACGTGACACACGACCTAAGTCTATAATTCACTGCAAGGCTGTGATGACTTTCAAGAGAGCCACAGCGGGCGGGGGGGGGGGGGGGGGGGGGGGGGGGGGGAGAACCTACCCCTGGCAGACAGCTTCTTGGTGTTGATGATTTTGGCAGCATATTCTTGACCAGTAGAGATTTTCATACATCTTCTCACCACTGAGAAAGCCCCCCTGAAAATAAAAAAATTACCAGGTCACCTCTATAATCAGCTCTGATAGTTACTCAAGAATGACAACATTTTGTTGAATGTACTGAATTTTCAAATATCACGCATTATGGTAATATCCAGAAAATAACCCACTCTTCCTGCAAACCCAGACTAGCTCTGATGCTGAGAACAAAGTAAATCTCATTTAACTGGGAGCACACATTATTAATCAACAAAATGACAGGGATTGCCAATTTCGAGGCTCCTGACTGCACATGAAATAGGAAAACCTTTTCCAGTTCACACTCACACCGCACCAAATGCTCCAGAAAAAACCCTGCGGAGAGCAGAGCTGAGGCAGAGCAGGAAGCCTGCTGCTATTTATCCTGGTAAGAAAAAAATTAACGTGGCTTCAAGTGAGCAAAGATGGCGATGGTTTTCATTAACACATAAATCTCGGGAACATTTGTGTGGTTTAAAAAACCCTGGTATGGCGATTTCTCTGTGCCTGTTTTGGGTTGGGGGAGGGGAGAGATTTGCATTAAGCTGCTCTTCCGACATATTCTCCATGTTTTAACAATGCACAAACGTATAAGGAGAGAAAGTTCATTCCATTTAAAAGGTATTTCCATTTCCTTTAATTCAGCTGCACGAACATCATCATACCCCGCACCATTCCATCGGTAATAGTGAAAGCAGAGCAGAGGCTTGGGTTTGGGTCAGATGTTGCATAAATCATAAATCAGCATCCGCGTCGCCCCTGGTCCCTGCGCACAGCCGACCCTCAGCAAATCCCGCGCCTCCCGCACACTTCCAGCCCGGGTCCCCGCACGGGCCTGGCCAGGTCCCTGTCCTCTCCCCGCACACCTCCAGCCCGGGTCCCCGCACGGGCCTGGCCAAGTCCCTGTCCTCTCCCCGCACACCTCCAGCCCGGGTCCCCGCACGGGCCTGGCCAGGTCCCTGTCCTCTCCCCGCACACCTCCAGCCCGGGTCCCCGCACGGGCCTGGGCAGGTCTCTGTCCTCTCCCCGCACACCTCCTGGGCCCCGCAGGGCCACCACCGCCAGGCCACCGCGGGGACCCACGAGACTGAAGGGCTCTCGGCCGCCTCTAAGTCCTCCGAGGACAGCGGGGTGCGCGCAGCCAGGGAGCGGGCGGCGAGGCCACCCGGACAGGGGGCAGCGGCGCGGGCAGGGTCTGCCGAGCCCAGCCCCTCCGGACACGGCCCTGGGGCACAGCGCGTCCCCGTCCGCGCGTGGCCGCCCCACGGCTGCGGAGGCACCTCCGCTCACCGAGAACGGTCTGAACGAGGGGTCTGCGGCCGCGGGCCGCGGGCTGGCGGCGGGAGGGCGGGGGCGCAGGGGCAGGCGCCTGGCCGGCCCGGCCCCGCGGGGAGCACCCCCACCCCCCCCCCCCCCGGCCTCCCGGCGCCGCGCTTACTTTCCGAGCTCCTCGAAGAGCTGGTACTCGTCCGTGAACCGGGTGCAGGTGGTGGTTGAGGCCATCGTGGGGCCACGCTGTCCCCGGGCCCGCTCGCTGCCCGCGTCCGAGTGGCCGCCCGCCCGATCGCGCGGGGCGGGGGCGACCGCAGCGGGCTCCCGCTCCTCCGCTCGGCCCCGCGGCCCCTCCGGCCGCCGCGCCGCCCTCCTCCCGCCGCCCTCCCCGCCGCAGAGGCAGCGCGCTCAGCACCGGGCCGAGATGGAAAACTGCCGGCGGGGGAGACGCGAGCGGCCAGCAGCTGCGAACGCTCTGGGGCCCGCGGGCGGGGCGGAGCCTGGGCGGAGCCGCCGCGGGGGCGGGGCCATCGCGGGGGCAGGGCCGAGGGCGGGGCGCGGCGGCGAGGGGCGGGGCCCGCGCAGAGGGTCGGCGGTGGGCGGGACATGCGCGGGGCGGGGAGGCTGGAGAGGCACGTGCGGGCCGGCGCCCTGAACTCGGCCTCCCGCGGCGCGGCCCCAAAGGCCCTCGGCGACCCCGGCCCGCCCCTGTGCGGCCGGGGGCGCCGCGTGGGGAGGCGGAGGAGGCCCACAGGCCTAGGACTGGGCGGCGCGTGGCCGCGGGGGCGGGGCCCCGCCGCGAGGAGACCTCGTCGGGCCGGCCTCCCTTCCAGGACTGCCCGGCCTCCACCGTCCCGCCTCCGGGCCGGGGTGCTCACGCTCGGGCAGCCCCAGAAGGGTCGCCTTCGGCTGTCACGATAGCGGAATGAAGGCAAAACACCGCCCCCGGCCACACCTTCGCTCCTGAGGGACGCTCCGTCAGTTCCGCGAAGAAGGCGGTTCTCGCGAGATTTTCGCGCTGCTGGGAGGGCGGGGCCTCGAGGCGGGGAAGCGGTGATGTGCCCGTAGGCTGACGTCATCCACACACGTGACACGCCTCCCCGCCCCCTGCTAAGAGGGGAGGCGAGGTCGTGGGCCTCCCAGGCACGCTCCGGGCTCCGCGGGTGGCACACGCGTGCCCCGCGTGAGTGCTGGTCGTGAACCCCCGGCTGTCAGCGTGCGTGTCGCTGTTTACAGTAAAAGGCGAGGAAAACAATGGTGCGCTACGTGGAAAACAGTGGATAAGTCATGTCTGCGGCAGCCCTCGGCCTTCTGGGCCTGTGCCCTTCATAAGCTGCGACATTGAAGGCTGGCTAGACATCCAGCAAAAGCTGCGGCCTAGTGAGCGGTGGTCTCCTCTCGTTTTACTGCCTTTTGCTTTGCAGCAGCCACAGGAAAACCTTGTGACTCCATCGCTCATTTGTTCACCTTAGCATTGCATCATGGGCTCAGAATTTCACCGCGGGCAGAGGAAGGTAGCTGAGAGGGAGGATCTGGGAGAGGGGCTGCTATTGTCCAAGTCACACCTCGTTCCCTAATGCCCCATCTTGGACGTGTTAGACTGCCAATAATGAGGTCTCAAAATGTTCACAATTTTTAACGCTTACTGTAACATAATTGAACTTTATTCATATTTTGATTACCAGCCTTAGAAAGTAAATACTATACTGGTACGAAAGAAGATGATACCGAAAACTATCTAAAGGAAAGAGACAGGGTGTCTAAGCATTAATAGCCGGGCCATCACGTGGGAGAAACCCCTACCAATTCGGTCTAGGTTGAAGATGTTTAATATATGGCATAAATATTTAGCAAAATGGTTCCAAGTTACAATGCAATGATTTCATATTCTCTGAATCTAAAAATGAAACAAAAAGTAAAATTAAAACAATAAATCAAGTTATAACATTTTATAACTCTGGGGAAGAAAATTGTTTTTTGAATACTCACATAATGAGGTCTACATAATCACAGTATTTATCTCAGTTCCTTAAATTATTGATAATTGTAAATGGTTATGACAACAAAGGAAACATAACTGAGTTTTAATAGTGATGTATTAGTAGACAACAAATGTGTACTTTTTTAAAGCAAGCCCTGTCTACTCAGTCTGGGTTTGCTCTGGTCCTTGGTCTGCTGTATTGACTCTATTTTAGTGCATATAGAGCCAGAGCGGAGGAGACTTTCGGAACCACTGATATGGAGTCACTGCCAGCCATGGCCGCTTATGCCAAGACTGAGGCATCGGGGTGTAAAGGGGACGCCCATAGGAGGGGCCAGAAATACCCAAACCATAAGTCTGAATGCGTGGATAGGGAATCCTTCTGGACACAGACATAGGCAGGGGCAGAAAAGGGATGTTGGGACCAGCGATAATTATAAGAAATATTTATTATACTCTTTTACCCTGACTGTGTCATTCCGGTTAAAGAAGGCACATTCTAACCTGGCTGGGAGTTGCCTTTATCACTGGAAGACCAACCACCTGTGCAGAAACCAGAGCCGCCAGCCCTAGCACACCGCAGGCCTTAGACTACCCTCCTTGTCCCCCACCCATACCGGGGCCCCTAGATGTCTAGGATCATCTGCCCCTTCTCATCACTGCCTTTCAGACCAGACTGCAGTCTTCTCTGAGCCAGCCTGAGGGAACACTGCGTGGCTCGAACCCATCTTCTGCCTCCCACAGATCCTCTCTGCATGCTCCGTGGCTGTCAGTTATATCTGGTTTAAGAGCCTTTTCTAATCCTCAATTTTTTTTCTCCTTATATTGTTACTAAAGGCCCAGTGCACGAAATTTGTACACAGGGGGTGTGTCCCTCAGCCCAGCCTGCACCCTCTCCAATCTGGGAACCCTCGAGAGATGTCCAACTGCCTGTTTAGGCCTGATCCCAGTAGGACATCCCTCTCACAATCCAGGACTGCTGGCTCCCAACTGCTCACCTGCCTGCTTTCCTGATTGCTCCTAACCACTTCTGCCTACCAGCCTGATCACCTCCTAACCACTCCCCTGCCAGCCTGATTGCCCCTAACTGCCCTCCCCTGCAGGCTTGATCACCCCCAACTGCCCTCCCTTGCAGGTCTGGTCCTTCTTAACTGGCCATCTTGTGTCCACATGGGGGCAGCCATCTTGTGTGTTTGAGTGATGGTCAATTTGCATACTACTCTTTTATTAGATAGGATAGAAGCCTGTTGCACAGGTGGGGGCAGCTGGTTTGCCTTGAAGGTGTCCCAGATCAGGGTGAGGGTTTCCTTGGGGTATGGGTCAGCTTGGGCAAGGAGCCTATGTTGGTTTGCAGGCTGGCCACATCCCCTGGTGACCCAAGCAGAGGCCCTGATAGCTGGGATTTATCTTCTATAATTGAAACTTTGGAGCTTTGAGCAGTGCCAAGCCTCCTGCTTGCTTTGTGGCCACAGCCATTTTTGTTGGGATTTATTTATTCGATATCTCCTAAAATTGAAACTTCATAGCCTTGAGTACAGGCCTGGGCCATCCAGGGTGTGCAGGAAGCTTGGCTTCCTCCATTACTGGGGAAACCCAAGCCTCTTGCTCGCTCTGTGGTCGTAGGCATCTTGATTGGGTTAATTTGCATACTTGCTCCTGATTGGCTGGTGGTCATAGCTTGTGGGTGTAGTGGAGGCACAGTCAATTTTCATATTACTCTTTTATTAGATAAAATTCCTAGATGATTAGTGTTTTAATCTGTCTACAATGGATAGTGACCCTGGTCCTTGAGCATTGACCTATGAACCAGAAGGGTTATGTTCCTAGTCAGGGCACATGCCCTGGTTGGGGGCTGGATCTGCAGTAGAGGGCACACAGGAGGTGGCTGATCAATGATTCTCTCTCATCGTGGATGTTTCTCTCTCTCTCTCTCTCTCCATCTCCCTTCCTCTCTGAAATCAATACAGATATATTAAAAAAAAAAAAAATGGCTGGTGAACAGCATGAGTCAGGGTCTACTTTCATTTTCTCCCTGAAACAGGTGGCTAGTTTTGTCAATGAATTAACTGTATAGTTCATATTTTCCCCACTTATTTAAAAGGCCTTTTTAAAAATATTATATCCATTTACATGTGGGTTGGCCTGTTCCTGTGACAATTCTTTCCTCTTAATTCATGGATTTTTCAATGCTCTTCTCTTTCATTTTTCATCCTTGCAGAGGGGGGGGGGTGCTTCAATGAGTCACATTTTTATGAGCAACACTTCTTTTTCACAACTACTTGGTGGATTTAGCAAGTGTGCCCGAGAATTAAGAGTGAAAAGTTGTTTCTGAAGGTGAAGGCAATTAAACCGGTGGGTTATCAACATGGGCAGGAAACAAAACAGAGAACCCCTGCGGCTTAAACGAGGAGAATCGTGCAATTGATTTTGCAGCATTTATTCTGTGAATTGCCAGGCACTTTGAGGATGCACAGAACATGACAGTGTCCCCTCTTCCATATGGTCGGGTGGGGAAATGGACATGAAATCAGTTATTGCTAAAAATGTCAGTCCTACAAAGGAAGACTGCAGGGAGCTATGACAACGCACTCTGTTTGTCTTGTTGGAGTAGGCAAAGGTTTTTCCTGAGAAAAGAGGAGCAAACTGAGATCTGAAGGGCTAGTGGGAGTCAAGGAGATGCGAGAGAGGCCGGGAAACAGCATTCTAGGGGATGGGATGTGGCCATTCAAGGAACCAAGAGGCCCTCTGTGGGGGCGCAGGGAGCAACACCAGGCTGTCGGACTTGAAGGTCTTAAGCTTGGGTGTGACATCTGGGCCACACAGGCCTGTGGCTGCCTCCTGGAAAGTGGAGGTTAGCCATCTAGGCTGTCAGCTCACAGGCAAGGCGAGAGAAAGGGAAGGTGTGAAAACAGAGATAGAGGCAGAGTTAAAGTATATTTGGGGAAATTAATATCTATCAAAATAATGAAATCTTGACAATTGAGGTAGTCTGTGTTAATATGAATTAGATAAAACTGTATGCTGTCTATGACTTAGATTAGTGTGACTTAAATTCCATTTTTGTTTTGTTTTTAGGCAAAACAGTAGTATTCAATAAGTTTCTTTTTAAAAATATATTTTTATTGCTTTCAGGGAGGAAGGGAGAGGGAAAGAGAGAGAGAAACATCAATGATGAGAATCATGGATTGGCTGCCTCCTGCACGCCCCACACTGGGGATCGAGCCCACATCCAGGCATGTGCCCTTGTCCTGAATTGAACCCAGGACCCTTCAGTCCCCAGGCTGACGCTCAGCCACTGAGCCAAACTGGCTAGGGCAACTAGTTTGTACATGCAGCAGAGTATTCAGCTTCCACTGTGGCAGCTGTGCAGGGGACATGGGACGGAGCTGTCATCTTCCAAAGGAAATACGTGGGTGGGTTGCAGTAATGTTTTGTTGCTGAAGAGTCTTGTGGGCCCTGGGACTGGGCAGCATGG